TTTTTTATACTGCTATAAGCATGTATTGTACTTATTAATATTTGATGATTCTTTTCAATTAATTTATATTATTCATTAGTTATCTTGTCTTGTTATTCAACCATGTACTAGTTAGTATGCGATTCGATTAATAAAGATTATTTATATATATTATGAGATTGTTAGGCTTAAAGAGATTACTTTTTTATTAAATTTAACCAGATACATATTTGATAATATTGTCGGGATCAATATATTAAAAATTATTATTATAAATTAAATTTTATAGTTTAAAAATGTTTTAATGACTTATACTAGCATTTTTTTTTTACTACTTAATTTTTATTAGCCAATTGAAATTTGTCGCAAAATGATTTACAAAAAATTAGTCAATCAGTATGAAGGCCCACTATGCTAATTTCTGCTATACTATCATACATACCTATCAGTTTATGTGCCATAATTTCTGTCACTAGTATTTCTGAAGTGCTCAGGAATTATAGCTGGATGCGGGGATTTAGAATCATCCTTTGCGACATATGCAAGATATTCATATGCCTTAAGAACTGGTGGAGAAATCAAATCTAGCGGCAAAGCAAGCAAAACCCAAAGCTCAAAGTGGTGAAGTTGTTGCACCCCCAAGCAGCATATCTAGGATTCGAATCCCACCGGTGATGAAATTTGAATATTCTGTTATGTGTAGCTGTTGTAAGTGGATATTATGCCATACTGAAGTCTATATAAGTAAATATTTGATCGACCACATTTTTCGCTTTGGTGTAAGAATGATAATCCAACTGCCTGTTATTGGGCGTTAAAACCAGATGCCTCTTGAATTCTATTGGTATGATTATTTTGTTTCGATAACGGCAAATGGCATCTGGTCTCCTGTTACAAAAGTCAAAGGGCTTTTGCTTCAAAAACGTATAATCATCTCTGACAAACTGTTTAAAATTAGACAGATATTGTTAGTTGTTGCGATATAATTATTGTCCTCAATGTGTACTGATATATTTTTAGTAAAATTCGATATATTGAATTTTGGTTCTTGACCTAACTTATGCTGATTAACCGATTTAAAGAAACTTGTCTAGCTATTTACAACAACTAGAACTGGGCCGCCAATATAACGGGTACTTTGGGATTTGCTGGTATCCCATAGGTATGTTACGGATGGTGGGATACAGCACAGAGCTTGCTCTTGTGTGATCTTCTTTTCTATTAACAAATAAGTAAATAAATACTATGAAAAATATTTAGATATTCTATCGCACCCACAAAAATTGTTTTCTTCCGTGATTTTCAACCAAGATCAGGTGTAACATAATCAAAGAGAACCCACTTTTTACAACAAAACATTAAGAAACCACTGCGGCTTATTAAAAATACTCCCCGTGAAATTTTCTAATATACTAAGTTATTCTATTCCAAGCCAAAATTACAATGCGGTTTTATTATTGGTAGAAAAATTACAGGGTCAACAATTTTTGTGGGTGTGCTGCCTAATTCGATATCAAAATTATAAATATCTTACTCTCAATGTCGGTGTTAGTATTTGGCTCTTGTTCTATACTTTCTCCTTCATCTCCCTCAACTTCAAAGTCTGTATCCAACTCTTCTACTTTTCTTCTTTTGGAACCAGATAAAGTGTCAGAGTCTTCATCTGGTACTTCTGACTTTCTTTTCTTTGACGTTTCATTAATTATATGGGTTAAGGGTTATGTCGCGTCTTTAATAAAGGTCGTGATAACTAAAAATAAAATAAAATTAATTTAATTACTTTCAAAACGTAATAAATAAAGAATAAAAGATAGCTTCGTTAATTTATTCGCATATTGAATTTTTTAATCGATTTGAGCTTGGGTTTATTAGTAATAAATATCAATTTACGCGTTATCTATCTATTTCTAAAATAGGACAAATTTTTTTGCATTCATTTATTAGCTTTTAGGCTTTTTTTACAAACGATAAATCTTTTTTATCCTCTGGTCAACCCCATCTATGTAACTTTTTTCATATACTTATTTCTACTGGACATATATCTATTTAATTTAGGTAGTTGAGTATTATCCTATTTAATCTTAAATGTCAAAAACAAATGCGTAAAATAAGGGTTTCGCTCTAAAATAAGTACATGAAAGTTATGCTACATAGATGGCAGGGGATAAATCAGTTATATCCTGTGTAGTTGGATATAAGCGAAATTTTGTAGTAAAGTATAACCGGCCGCTTACGTGGCCAATTATACTTACTGCAAAATCCCACTTATACCCAACTGCCCAGGATATAACTATTACTAAAATTTTCTATTCTGATTGGCTAATTATCACGGGAAATCACGGGCAAATCTACAAAATTAACCAATCATATCATGGAAGGACATTCGTCTGATTGGTTGATGCAAATCAATTACCCGGGTAACTTATTTATACACTTTAAAGTACTTTTTTAGAACACAATGTTTCACTAACAAAAAATTACTGCAAAAGCTATTTCTAACTTTGAAAGAACGCCAAGATTCAGTGTGCAAAATAATTAGACAAACATCATACTCCTGACAAACTTTGCTTAGAAGACAAAGTACACTACCGTTTATTGGACCACGCGAAATTATACTGCAGAGTAAAGGTAACTAGGAAAGTTTTTCATTTAGAACTATTTTATTATGTTAGATTTAAATAAAATTTTATTGCTAACGGTTTAAGTTGAATAGGTACAAGATCTCTATTGATAGAAGACCGGGTTTAATGTTTAAATTTGGTCATTCTTGTAGCATGTTTGGGTTAGCCAACCATAAATCAAACTTTTGGTTTATACCTTGTAGATTCTTTAATTAGTTCGGGTTTATTAATAATAAATAACGTCTTTATCCCACTTTGCATGTATCTACCTACTTTCTAAAGTATATATTATAAAATATTTCACTGTATTTATTAGTTTGTGTGTTTCTTGTATGAGGTTTTTTCGTTTTCTAGTAGTATTGATACGATAAATCTTCATGTATTTTGATTGGTTAATTATCACGGGAAATCACGGGTAGATCTACAAAAATTAACCAATCATAGGAATGTCTTCCCATGACCAATCATATGAATGTCTTCCTATGACCCAGGTAGTATTAATAGTTTAGTGTAGTCGCAGGATGTCTAAAACAGAGCAGAATCACGTGTCATCTGCCGGCAAAGCAAAACAAGAAATAAAAATGAAAAACCTGAAAAATACAAAAAACGGCAGTCTAAATCTACCTCGGGTGGGTTAATTAAAAATGTCGGGAAGGCCTAAAACATAACCTAACTATAATATAAGATGACCCTAACCCTAAAGTTAATTCAAGATTATTTGTCTGTGAAACCTAAATTTTACCCCTGAATTTTTTGTTTATTTTTTAGATATCATAAACAATGTCATGTGGTTATAAACACAGATTGACCAATCTAATTTAATTGGGTCGTCATGTGGTTATAAAACACAGATTGACCAATCTAATTTAATTGAGTCGTCAATATTTGGTTGTCAATCTATTTTTAGAACACGAACGTTAAAAAATTGGTTTACATTCAAGTTAAAATATCACGATAAATTATTATATCAACATAGGGTAAAAAGTGAAATACATTTGGATAGAAACTGGCACTTTAATTTGAATCAAAAATCTTAAAAAAGTGTTTTCCTAGTCCAAATAGGGGGATGGCTAAAGCAAGGTGTGTTAGAGTTACTTTTTTGATGCAGTTAGCGTTACTTTTTTGATGCAGTAATGGTGAGTGATTTATATAAGTATCAATACGATAATTTGTACAGCATGTAGATTATTTCCAAATTTATACCCAATGCACCTGGCTTTAACTAACCTCCAAATAGGTAATGCGTGTATTTATGTACCCAAACCGGTTTGTAAACCGGTATCTAGCCAATCAACATCAATTATTTATTGGCTAATAAGTTCAAGTAAAACCAGAACATAGATACTAAATCAACATGTGATATTTTTATAAAGTTGCAAACTATATGTTAATCATATGATTTAAAAGGGGCATGCCCATGGGCATAAGGGATATTCCTCAGCTCAGGGGCATGCCTATATGGGCATGTCCAATTTTTTTCATGCCCTATTTTGGTTAAACAACAACATACATCGATTATAAAATTAGTAAAAAAAATTGATCTCAATCTTATTTCAAAACACCCTTGAAATTTTGTGAGAAAAATCTCCTCCACCTTACATAAAATTATCGAAAGTCAAAGTTCCTTGCGAAAAGCTGGCAAGGCTGAAGCGCTTTTACAAAACAAATCGGTTAGTTAATGTTAATTCACATAGAAATAATATTAGAGTGGTGGCTTTTTTGCAGCCCTTGACGTGCTTGTTTTCAGAGAGGGTGGAACAGTAACTTTACAAGTAATTATAGTTACTACTAGGTTCTTGTACCCTTTATTAGTTCTGCCATATCTAGCTATTCTGATCTTAAATTTTATGTTATACTATCTGAGATATATTTTCTTATTTTATAATCTTTTCTTTAAAGTACAGAACTAAAAGAGTAATAAGATGGCGAGTTACATTAATTCTCAAAAAGTTTTAGGAGACATAATCAATAGAGAAAGCATGGACTCAAATAATAATGAAACGTCAAAGAAAAGAAAGTCAGAAGTACCAGATGAAGACTCTGACACTTTATCTGGTTCCAAAAGAAGAA